CCCCCCCATCCATTCCTGACCTTTGGGCTGGTCTTACCATAGACCACCATGGTGGCTGACAGGCTCCTCCTCTTGGCTACTATGTTGGCTGCCATGCAAGTATAATTCCCTGAGTCAGAGAGTCGTGCCTGCCTGATGATCAGGTTATGGTCAGCCCTGGTGTCAATGTTCTCATCTTGTTCTGAGTCGATTGGTTCTTCATTTTTCAGCCATTTCACCTACAGGAAGGAAAGAAGGTTTATAAAAGTTATTAGAAAAAAATAATAACTCTTTTGCAATCAGAAAGTGATTAGTTCTGGTGTGCAGGAAAAGGATGTACCTAACTCACAGTATAATTATGACTTTTTTATTTATTCCATATTTATCCTTTTTATTTAGGAAAATCTTGTTCTATTAAGGAAATGGATACTCAAGTTAATAAACTGAAAGTAGGAAAAGAACACAAATAGTCTACTGATTTTGACCCATTTTTCTAAAATCGCAATGGAAGAGAGAGAAAAAAGGTGACTGCGATTAGGTCATTTCATTTTATTTCATTACAATACTGCTGCTGCCACTGCTGCTATTTCAATAACTGGTCCAAATCGAGATCAGAGAATCAACACACATGCTGAATTTATACTTTGTTTTGAGAGGCCATTTATTGAACCAAATTTTAAGTCAATATGTTTGTATTTAAACAAGTTTTAATAAAGGTGTGAGACTGTATAAAGGCTAAAGTAATCCAGACTTGAGTAATGATAGCCACATAAATTAAATTCAAATCTTAGTGTTCTCCTGATTTGAAGATCCATTTCTCAGGTGATTAGTTATACCGTTCCTCCAGTGATTCAGCAGACATTTGAGCTCTGGGTTATGCACCTTACCATGTAAGGCCCAGTCTCTCTGCTGGAAGAGATCATCTCCTCCATTCTCTGAGCAGAGGCTAGTTCTTGATTTATTTCAATCTCTAAAGCTTGTTCCTGGAGAACCTATTGTACTCTCTCCAGCTCCATCTGGATCCTATACTTACTAAGTTTCTCTCTCCTTAGACACCTGAGGAAGAAACAGATGGGGGTCTTCTGCTCCCCAAATCCTCATTCTTGGTCAAGTAAACTTAGCACCCATTTCATGAAACACTTCAGCCTCCTATGTGTGATCTTTGTTCCTTCCCTGTTTGTTCTTTGATTCCAAATCTAGGTAACATTTCAACTCTCCAGTGCCATCTTGGCAGCACCGGATATTTCTTCATTGGTCATGACTGCTTAGCTTTAGTTATCAGAATGTGTAAGCCACAATAATTTAAGACGTGTAAAGACTAATTTATCATAGCATGCAATGACAGTGACTACTCCAAACAGATTTCATATGAA